CGGTGAATAAGGCCGCTAATTCCCACGGTAGTGGGTGCTATGTAGCCACTATAGGACTTCTTTGTACCTGGATTGCAGCAAAATTGAGGTTGAAAACCTCATATTTGACTATTCACCAGCTGGGTTGCAACCAGCCTTACTAGAGATGTGAATACTCAATGTAAATAAGGTTAGTGGACCAACCAAAATCCCGACCTCTACTTTCCGCTTAATAGTTTTAGGCTATGTTTTCCATTGCGTTTTTTAAGCACTTCTGGACTTTTGCTTTCTCAAAAGCTAAAAGTAGTGTTTGGAAACACAAAATTCTGCTTAAATATAAGCACTTCTATCTCAAAAGCTGAAGCAACCATCGAGATGCTTTTATCTGCTTTTGGTTTCTTTTTGTAAATATGTACAACTTTGAGGAGACTTTTATACCTCAACTTTTTCCCAAATCCCAAGTTACCCTTGTCTGCAAAGACAATTTGTTTACCGGACTGTTTTTCATCGCCCCTATATCGACCACCTCCTCCGTTGAATTCCATCATCCGGCCATGGTGAACAAGCTAAGCTCCAGCCAAATTTCAGTTGTCACCACCGACGAGATACCACACAAATTCCAAATCCGGCCAAGTTCCGATCTGGATATAAAAAAGCACAAAGAAACATGGGCAAGGCACCACCATCACAGCTATATGGGGAGAGGAATGGCGCCCAAGGCATCACTATGGTCTGCCAGAAATCTAGTGGCCATGGCCGTAGATTTCTTTAGCTCCACGATCTGTTGCTAGGTTGTTTCTATGTAGGGGCATTATTGTCTTCAACAAAATATCACATTAAAAATCACTTTTTTATCAAACACTTCAACTTTTTCGTTTTAATTAAAATCACTTCTATTCTCAAACACTACCCACTTTTACTAAAAATCACTTTTTCTATAATCACTTTTTAAAATCACTTTTGAGAAGCAGAAGCAATAGCAAACATAGCCTTATAAACAAATGTTTTTATCAAATATAAATTTTTATAGGGAGAATTTGACTTTGCACCCCATGTTTTGGTTAATATTGGATTTTGCACCCCATTTTCAAAATCATTAATATTTGCACCCTATTTCACTATATAATCATTTGACTTTGCATCCCACTCCTTCACATTTTTTGAGCTAATGGGGTGCAAATATTAATGATTTTGAATATGGGGTGCAAAGTCTAATATGGCCTAAAACATGAGGTGCAAAGTCAAATTCCCCCATTTTTATATTAAGCATTCAGTTTTATAATAATAAAAACAAGTAATGTTACTTGCTTTTATTTTTTTGTTGAATTGGCTGAAATTATTATAAACGTTTCAGATGAATATATAGTATTAAGAGGTGTTGATGACAATTGGGATGATATAGATGTATAATTTTTAATATTTGATGATTAAATAGTTATTCAAAAGTGTTTATTGTTTCATAAAATATAAAATGAGAACTTTTAGGCGAGACATCAAAAAATGATAGTGAAAGCATTTGAACAGACGGAGGGGGTATCATTTTTCATATTTCGGTCGATTCAGCTAATTCAATCAGAATTTCATCAATTTCAGTACCGTTGGATAATTAAGTCAATTTCTATACTACAAAACACGTCGAAGATGTTTGGAAAATGTTGTTTCAACAAAAAAAGTAGCGATTTGACCCTTTTTAGTGTTAAAACTTGGGGTTTCATACTAAAAGGTCAACCTAAGTAGTGGAGTAGCCCAAAGTTTTATACAATATTTTATTATTTTATAGCTTTCCGGTGTAAGACAAATACTTTAACATGTCCCCTCAACTTGAATCGAGCTGGACAGTACCAGGGTGTACAAATGGGTCAAACATACCCTTAACAAACTATTCTTAATCATGAGTGCTAAACAAGCACTCAAATTAATTACAACCAGACTTGGCTCTAATAGCATGTTTAGATCCATGGTTCCATCCTAAAAGATCAACTTTATAGAAGAGTGGCTCAAAGTCTTATATAATGTTCTACTCCCTCCGTCCCAATATAAAAGGCACACTTTCCTTTTCGGTCCGTCCCAATATAAAAGGCACATTTCCCTTTTTGGCAAACAAAACAGTGCAAAACAGTGCCAAACAGTGTCCAAACAGTGCCAAACAGTCTTTAAACAGTGTCAAAAAGTGTTCAAACAGTGCTCACCCTTAAAAACTCCCCAAACGCAAATGTGCCTTTTATATTGGGACGGAGGGAGTATTATTTTATAGCATTTCGGTGTTGGGCAAATACTTTCGTAAAAAACGATGTTTGGTAAATAGCTATTCAGCTCTAGCGTTTTTGGGCGGAATCGCATGAACAGAAACACTGCTATTATCAGCGTTTTGGGTTAGAGTTCTGAAATAGGCATTTCCTACTAATTCATATGTCGAAACGACTAAATTACCAAACATCTTTTTGCAACCCGCCATGTTATTTCTCAGTCAAACCTATTGACTTAATTTGATATTAACAACTTGGTAATATAATTTATTTTACGATAACCGTTAACCGCTAAATGTTAAACGCGCTCACTATATATCTAATCCTAATTAGCTTAGAGTTAGTGGAAGAACACAGGCCTACCGGGACCGATTCCTTGTCAAATAGATGGAATCGTTTGAAATATATCAAATGTAATAATGGTCCGGTTTGTATAATTATTTTACAGAACGGTATGACATCGAATCATTCTTTACGGTTCAGTTCTTGTCATTTAACAGTTCCCGGTTTTTTTAAAACAATATTACAAATCACCTTTAGATTTTGTGCCAAAAAACATTCATCGTTTGAAATTACAAGAAAAAAAATATGTTTATAGCATCATTTTAAACATCAAAAGTTGAGTTTAAAACATAAATACAAACCAAATTAAAAAAATTAGTAAATAAAACAAAACAATACATTCACTACAATCAATAATTATGATCTTGAATCAGCAACGTAATTAGCCAGTAACAATGTTCACTCATCTCAAAGGGTCACGAGCAACACACTCAATTCCGTCTATTTGGGCCTCTACTAAGAGACTTAGGGGAACCCAACAAAATAAATACTCCCTCCGTCCCAGGGAGAAGTTCCCGGGTTGACTTTCACACATATTAAGGAAATAAAGTTACTGGGGGGTAAATTTTACTGTTTGGCACTGTTTCGACACTGTTTGGCACTGTTTCGACACTGTTTTGCACTGTTTAGCACTGTTTGGCACTGTTTTGATGTAGAATAACTTTCCATTTAGGGAAATGAGAACTTCTTGTTGGGACTGCCAAAAAAGGAAATTGGGAACTTCTCCCTGGGACGGAGGTAGTAATACGTAGTAATATCAAATACTTTTTTTAAATAACTATACTAAAATAGTTAATGTGGTAAACAAACAAACAAACAAATGTACATATATATACACACACACACACTAATAGGAAATACAATTTCTTTAATTATTATATATAGATATTATTATCTCAGTCCCAATAACATTGGAACAAGAGGGTGTGACACGATTAGGAAAATTAGTTTATGTGATTCATATTGAATTAATAATGCAAGAATAAAATAAAAACATAGTAACTCATTTTACCAAATTTGGTATGAGACAATCGTGGTGGAATTTCTCGAAAAGTTAAAATAGGACAATCTTAGTGGAACTGATGGAGTATTATATACTACGTATAACGATCCCTTCATGATTCCATGTACATATTTTTTTCAGAAATCGAGAATCAAACCATCAATAAGGAATAGGAACCGAACCATTAATATGTCATGAATACACGTTGGAACCGAATCAAATCATTCAGTCCAATTAATCCCTAGAACACATATCCACTTTTTGGTGAAAGTGGACAAACAAAAGTAATTGATTGATGGATGGTGTTGGCTGGCCAAGCTTCCGAATCACGTGATGCAGTGTTGAGCCTTGACAGATCGATGATGCTAGCTGGAGGTAACGTGATAAATGCCAACTCCTCCTTTTTATCAGTTTTAATAAGGGAAAAGGTGCAAATAGACCCATGTACTAACAAAAAAAGGTCAAATAAGCCCTTATTTAGGAGGTTCTGTCCGGACGTCATCATTTGGGGTGGTTCCTGGTGGAATTTTTTGATGAAATTGTTTGAGCATCTTATTCATCAAGTCTAGTTTACTCATACCAAATTTCAGCTAAAACTTCAATCGGGAAGACATTCAAATAAATTCTTGAAAATAACTGCGCAGTTAGAAGCGCATTTATCTTCAAGAATTCATTTGAATGCCTTCCCGATTGAAGTTTTAGCCGAAATTTGGTATGAGTAAACTAGACTTGATGAATAAGATGCTCAAAAAATTTCATCAAAAAATTTCACCGGGAACCACCCCAAATGGCGACGGCCGGACAGAGCCTCCTAAATAAGGGCTTATTTGACCTTTTTTGGTTAGTACATGGGCCTATTTGCACCTTTTCCCGTTTTAATAACTTTCAAGTGCAACATTTATGCGGACGCAGATGTATTAGACTGAAATGAACGGAGTATTTACACTACAATCAAGGGTCCTTTAAAAAAGGGTTCACATAAGGACTTCTCGTAACACCAAACAAGACAATAAAGATGGTTTGGAATTAATTATATTTATACCTAGGAGGAGAATTAGAAATTTCATATTTAAACGGTTTATACTTCTTTAGAGAGCATAGGTAGGTATTGGATTGCTCGCGAGAAGTGCAGAAGTACATACTAACTCCGATCCAAAAAATACTTCCCGATTTGAATTGGCACGTTTATTGAGTAAGTGGAATAAAATGGAAAATGTATGGTTGTAATTGTGTAAGATTGAAAAAAGTAAGATGAATGTGAGCAACAAAAATTGTCCAAAAAAAGAAAGGGGAAAATATTTTTTTGAACAGCCCAAAAAGGAAAGTGAGAAGTATTTTTGGGACGAAATTGAGTTATCCAGGACTCTTTCTTCTTCTTTTTGTTATTTAAAGAAAGTGAGTATTTAAAGAAAGTGAGTAGTAACGTCGCCATGAAGGGCAATGACATTAGCAGATGACAATACATTGGTTAGAATAGAAGTAAGGTCAGAGGTAGGGTTGTTAGGAAATTGAGTTTTTTTTAAGTATTTATCATGAGCACGAATATGATTTTGAACTTGACAAGTTTGAACTCAAACCCAAACATTACTATTACTGAATCGAGCCGAACTCGAGCTTTGGGTGTTCGAGCTCAGCTCGGCTCGTTAACAGGCCCAGTCAGAGGGAAGGCGGTGATTCTGATGGTAAGTCCAATGGTGTCGATTTTTAATAATGTCATTTTGAAATGCATTTACATCGTGAAATATGGTGTATATTCAATTGGACGAAAATAGGACAATTGCACCTTTTCTTTATAAATCTATTCTTGTTCTTCGATCCTCTTGAATATGACCTGTTTTATTTGTGTGCTTTTCAATATAATCATACGAATGATTAAAAACAAATGTAGTCATATTTTGAAATATTAACTATATTTTAATCACATTACACAAATTATCCAAATTTTATTTTACAAACTGCTTTTGATTGCGGATAGCCGGGATATATATAGAAATATATTTCCAATGATGATCATTAAAAGTGAAACTGTTTAATTGGATTAGGGAGTATTTGGGAGTAGCGCAAAAAAGGAATGCTCTCCATTAATTTATGCACATTGAATGAAATCCGATCGCTGTTTTGTAGCATCATCATGCATGGCAAATTGGCAATGAAGGCTCCAATGGCATCGCACGTGAAGCTCTTTAGGGTGGACCGCTGGATTTAATCAAGCAGGAATTTGGTACCGAAAGATTTGTTCGCTTTAGTTTTAGTTTTATGCAATGTTCTAAAAGGCGCTAGGCGCTAGTCGGGCGCCAGCACAGCGTCTAGCGCCTAGGCGGCCAGACGGGCGCCTAGGCGGCCAGACGGGCGCCTAGGCGGCCAGGCGGGCGCCTAGGCGGGGATTAATCGGAACATGGAAATTATAGTTTTATTAATATTTTTGCATAAACATGATTAATAATGTTGTGTTTATGTGTATATAAAATATAAAAACACACATTCACACACTAGCATGCATGAATGATAAGAGTTATCACATTTAATAACATATTATACATACTTACTTCTTAACTTCAAGTAATATTACGTAATAATTATTAATAAATAATAATAACACTTAAGAATACATATATAAAAGCATGTATAGTATTTATATTAATCAACAACTAGTGGTTTTCTTCATATGCGTTGTTATAGTTAAAGATACATATATCTCTTAGAATACTAAAATAAAAAGCAAAATAAAATGTTCGATGAATCTATATGACTAGGCGGCCGATTAAGCGCTCTAGGCGGGTAGTTAGGCGCCTTAGGCGGCCGACTAATTCACCTAGGCGCCAAATCAATTAGTCGGAGCGCCTAGACTAAAATCGGGGCGCCCGAGTACCGCCTAGCGCCTAGGCGGGGACTAATCGGGCGCTTAGAGCGATTTTTAGAACCATGGTTTTATGTGAGAACTCCGATACTCATTTAAAAATGGGGGTACCGTACCAACCATTCATTTGATTGGTCCAAATAGGAATATCTTTTTTAATTTAGACTTAAATAATTCAACTACAACATTCTGATTGGTCCATGTGGACAAAAGGTATGGTACCTTTTGGGTACCGTAGAATCTACCTTAGTTTTATTATTATGTGGTCTTTTTCTAAATTAGTAAGGATGTCTTTACTTGGACGGTAATCTCTCCCAGATCAAACCAGATCAGATAATATCAAATCAAACTAGATCAAATCAGACCAGATCAGATAAAAAAGGATTAAACCAGACTAGACCAGACCAGACTTGGATAATTATAGAAAAACAAAGAAATCAGACCAGATTAGTTCAGACCAGATCAGACCAAACCAGACCAGACCAGCAAATTACAGTTCAAGTAAAAACATCCTAAACAGCTTTGGGATCAGGAACGGAGTCAGAGCACTAGACCGCATGAGGCAGGTATAAAGAATATTTTTTAAAAGGGTAATTTTATTGCAGTCACTAAATTGCTATTCATAGTCATTTAACCAAAGAAATTCAAAATCTAAATTCTCCTTGTTATTATTTTCCCACTTTACGCGTTTGTGTAGGACTTGGGCGTCCAATCAGTTTTTACTTTCTCGTGCTCGATCTATATGGAGCAAGAGGCTCCGGAGATTTCCGGCGACCAAAAGTTTCCGGTATTTCAAAATTATACGAAATGGGAGTTACAAACCTCTCTGGCTTGCGCAATGCGGCAATGCCTAAAGATTGTTAAAGTATAATTACCAAATAACCTAGGGATATTTTGACTTTGCACCCCACTTTTTAGGTGATATTGGACCTTGCACCCCATTTTCAAAACTCTTAGACTTTACACCCCATTTCCTCTAAAATGCCTTTGCCTTTGCACCCCATTGAGGAAATTTTATTCACAAAATGTTGTAGATAGGGTGCAAAGTCCAATATCAGTCAAAAAGTGAGGTGCAAACTCAAAATTCATCAATAACTTAAATAAATGCATATGGCATATACTATAAATAAAGACACTTTGACTGCAAAATAAGCTGACAGTCTTTTTCCCTCATTTTGACTTGCATACACCTAATTCAGTTTTAGTTTGTTATCTGCTCTAACAAAACTGGTATCAGAGCTTCGTTCCAATTTCTTGCGCGAAACTAAGATACGAAGAATAGCGATGAACAACAACATTTTCCCTGCGAATCTCCCTATTTTGGATGTCAAGAATTGGCATCAGTGGTTGATTCAGATGAAGATCATCTTCGAGTACCAGGAATGTAACACCGCCCCCAAGTATTTGTACTTTACCGAATTATGTATTGAACTCTGGGAAATGAATAAATGCATTTTTCGTAATTGTAAATGTTTATCATTTCTTTTACGTGAATAGTAAAATTCACGTGGGGCCCACACCGGAAGTGGGGGCCGCCCGATATTATCGGGACCACATATTATATTCATTTGGGTCAAGATGATATGTGTATAATGGTGGATAGCCTGGTTGGGCCATAGGAATCATGTGAGTAACCTGTTGGGCATATGAAGCCCATTTATCGGTACCGAAGTAATATCAGATAAAAAGCCATAATAAATTATGGAGACCATCAAATTAAAAGTTGGGGATGTACATTCATTCTCATAACCAATAATAATTGGAAGAATGATAGATATTTCATTTTACCCAATAAAACGAAATATAGTTAAAACAGTCCGGAAAATACAACTTTCGGGACCAAGTGTACACTTGGGGACCTAAAGGGATGACCTCCCACATATGTGGGGGCCACCCCACGTATTTTGGTCTTGCAAAGAGCAAGAGGAGCCGCACAATACTGTGAAGGAGCAAGATGGAATTGATTGGAAGACCAATCAACAAAGGAAGTGGACCTCACCCATGTTATTATTGGGAGAAATGCCAAAAAGGCATTCTCAATCATCCCACCTCATACAGCTCGTCCATACTATCCTCATTGGTGAGAGAAGCTCTGAAAATACTCCATAGAAGCCTCCATACACGCACCTAAGCAAGGGGAGGAAGAAGGAAGGAAATAGAAGAAGAGAAAGGAGAGAAAAAGAAGGAAAACTTGTGGTTAATAAGGTAATGACTTCATTAACCCCATTTCTTCTCTTTAATCCTATTACATACTCCTAGGATAGCTCTACACATGTAAAGGTGTAGGATGGGAGTTGGTGAGTTGGTCTAAACCCAAAACGAGCTTTGAGAGCAAAGTTGACGGGTTTGTCGGAAAATAACCTTTTAGAGGTTATTTGTGGTGATATGGGTTTTATGATGATAAAACCTTGTTATTAACTTGTATAAGGTGCTTCAAGGACTTTCACGGAGTTGAAAGAGTTGCCGGAGTTGTCACCGGAGTTCGTTGAAGTTCACCGGAGTTTCACCGGGGCTAAATCGGAAAGGCTAGAACTTTATAAGCTTCATTAAGGTGAGAAGACGGCTATATGCTTTATAACTTTTGATTGAGGCATGAGATTACCTAAAGTAATCAAGGATATGTTTTACGGGATGATTAAAGTTAATCAAGTATGGGCTTATGCCATGAATATATATAAAACAAAGTTGAAAGGCATGTTTGTATGTTTGGTGATTAAAAAATGTGATAACTTATTATGTACCATGATCCAGGGGTCAAAAAATGGTATTTTTGGATCAAGGACTTCAAGTAGAATGTGCATATAAAATTTCACGTTAATCGGACTTCGTTTGGGCGGTCAAACGGGCGTTGACCGCCGAGACAAGGGTGATACCCGACCGGGTAAGATGGATACCCGACCGGGTATTGATTAAATTCGGCTCCAGAAGCCACTGCCACACTAGACCCGACCGGGTAAGGTCAGGGACCCGACCGGGTCTCAAGTAAAGTCAGTTCCAGGGGCTTCTGCCCGGCCCTACCCGACCGGGTAAGGTGGATACCCGACCGGGTATTGGTTTATACTCAAAACGGGTAGCTTTTGAGTAGGATAACGTGGACCGATCAGGTGGGACCCGTCCACATTGGTTACTAAGGATTATTATATGACTATAGGACTAGGTATTGTCCATAGTTAAGTGAATGCAAGGTTAGCCATATCCAGGTTAGGGTTTGGTTAGAAATACGGTTGAGGTTGAGTATCCTCGGGACGGTAAACAATCCCAGAAACTCGGTGAGGTTGAGCATCCTCGGGACGGCAAACAATCCCAGAAACTCGGTGGGGTTGAGTATCCTCGGGACGGTAAACAATCCCAGAAACTCGGTGAGGTTGAGCATCCTCGGGACGGTAAACAATCCCAGAAACTCGGTGAGGTTGAGTATCCTCGGGACGGTAAACAATCCCAGAAACTCGGTGAGGTTGAGTATCCTCGGGACGGTAAACAATCCCAGAAACTCGGTGAGGTTGAGTATCCTCGGGAGGGTAAACACTCCTGAAACTCGGTAGGATATTATGAAGGTAGAATGTAGCCCGTGAGCTAGGCATTCAGGAATGAATGGGAAAGGTTGGGTAATCGCCATACCTCTAAAAGACTCTTTGTGATAAAACGACCTACGGGTCAAGTATTTTACAAGTATATACAATATGTATTATCTTGGGAATGGGGTAACAATGGTTACACCTATAAATATAAGTATCACCCTATTTTTGGGTCTCGTGTCTGAAACATTAGTTATTCCTCATATAGCCTGCTTGTCACTAGTACTTCTATGGAGTACTGACCCCTTCGGGGGCCCTCACATTTTTCAGGTTGAGGCTAGAGTCCTGCTACCTGCACCTTTGCCCAGGGTGAACTCAAATAAGGAAGACGTGGTTCGTGCTTCCATTCTTATTTGAAATGGTGAAATTGCTCATGGATATTTGAGCGATGTTTTCTATTAAACTATTGAAGGGCCTGTGTGCCCGTGTTTGCCACATGTGGCTGAATGTCAAACTTATTTTATTTCCGCATTCATTTGACTAATATATTGATGTTGATTGTATGGGTTTACTAATCGGTTTGGCAATAGAATCTTTCGGACGCCTTGTATGATTTGATAAGAATGAACTACATTGTTCTTATTGGGTTGTACGGCGGTTGTCTACGTGGCACGGACGCGGTCCGGGGCGTGACAATTAAGTGGTATCAGAGCCATCGATTTCTAAACTATATGATTAACCTCTCAATATAGTATCATTAAAAAGTTTTGAACAAAACCATGAGCAAAAGTTTTTGTACTTAAGGAACCGTTGGAAACCAAGTTATTGACCTCTTATTGTTAAGACGGTACCCTTAACAGTTTGTTGGCCATAATGTTGGACCAAGTGGTGTCTTTTGTACTATTCCGTCAATTGACATTGATACGAGTCTAACGACTCATTCCAAATTTCTTTCAGAAATGGAGGGTAGACACATGGCTACGAGGAACAACCCGAGAGGGCAAACTCAGGCGACGTCCGTAGGGGCCAGCCAGGTTGCATCTCGGGGTGCGAGAGGCGGTAGGAGAGGCCGTGGAGGCCGTGGAAGCCGTGGAGGTCATCAGGCTCAAACCGTGAGCGATGGCCATGTTAGCTCGGTGCACGGGACTCACACCGAGGATTATGACTCTACTTATGTTCCCGAGACGGAACAGGAGGAGACCCCATACGATGGGGGTGATACGTATACCGACGATGACAACGATGAGAGTGATGCCAAGTTCGCTCAGATGGGCGAATTGTGTGAATGGTATCAAAAAGAGAAACTAAGGCGAGATCTTAGGCGCCAGGCTAGGCATGCCTCTCAGGGGGCTTCAGGTCACGGAAGCCGGGGAGCATCAGTGGCTACACCTGTGGCGTCACAGGGAATGCATGGAGGAGGTTTTTGTGTAAGAATCTCCAAATACCTCAAGGAGGCTAGGGCCTTGGGGTGCAAGTCATTTGATGGCAAGGGTGATATATCGGTGGCTGCCGACTGGATCAAGAAATTGAATGAGGCTGCTAGGGATATGCAGATCGGGCTTGACATAAAGCTGACGGTTGCTACCAGGCTACTGGAGGGAGTAGCTGCTGTATGGTGGGAAGGCGTGGAAGGAAAGTTCCACGGTGAGACCACCTGGGAGAAATTCGAAGTAGAATTTTATAATCAATACTACTCAGAGTTTGAGAAGAACCAAAAGAGGAAAGAGTACATGACCTTGACACAGGAGGAGGGGTGCTCGGTAAGGCAATTGGAACAGAGGTTCCGGGATTTGGCACGATACATACCTGAGTACGCCATGGATGAGAACCGCATGGCTAATCACTTCTGGGATGCCCTACAGTTGGATATCCGTGATAGGGCTACCTACAATCATCACATGACGTTCAGTGAGATTGTCGATCAGGGGCTTCTCGGGGAAGCCAAATGGAATGAGAGGAAGAAGAGAGACGCCGAAGAGGCGAAGAAGAGGAGATGGGGAAATTCTGGACCCCAAGATCATTCTCGGAAACATCACGCCGGGACTGGAAGTTCATTTAGGGCGCCGGAACCACCGGCAAAGAAGAGCAAGGGTCCAGGAGGGCAAGGACACAGCTCGGGGAGCGTGAGGCCACCGAGGTGTCTAAACTGTAACAAGAATCATGCCGGGAAGTGCAATGCACCACCCCGGTGCTACAAGTGCGGTAGCACTAGTCACCTCAAGCCTTCTTGCCCAATGTTGAATGGAGGGGGACCATCGGGGGCTATGGAAGGACCTACGGCTAGTAGGGGACGTGCGGGACCATCACAGGCCGGCACGGGAAGGGGCGGACCTACGGCAAGCAATGCCGCGTCCGTTAACCAAGGTAGGACCCAGGCACGAGTGTATGCAATGACCGAGGCGGATGCGCGAGCAAACCCGGACTCCGTTGCAGGTAATATACAAAAATTTTATATGTTTCTAGGCTTATACTAAAGTTATAAGTCCTAAGGGTCAATTGCAAACTGACTTAGGGTCGAATCGGGGGAAATTCAACGAAACCAGGCTGATACCCGACCGGGTAAGGCAGGTCACCCGACCGGGTATACTGAGATTTTTGCCTGGTAAACCCACTGGAACGATTACCCGACCGGGTATCTAAGGTTACCCGACCGGGCAGAATGAAAATTTTTACCCGCGAGCTTCTGGAACGGATACCCGACCGGGTACAACAGGTTACCCGACCGGGTATACCAAATTTCCATACCCGCTGGCTTCTGGATTGGATACCCGACCGGGTACAAAGGTGTACCCGACCGGGTATTGCTGTATATTGTAAATTACGGACTTTTTCGGGGCCTACAGTTCAATTTAGGTAGGCAAGGTACCTTACATGACTTATAATTGTAGGAACGTTAAAGATTAATGGAAGGGATGCGAGGATCCTTATCGATACGGGAGCACAACGTTCATTCGTTAGTGAGGTGTTTGCCGTGGGGTTAGGCACACCTTTAATACCAATGATGCAAACCCTTTTGGTATCTACGCCTCTAGGGGATGACGTTGAACGAAATGACTACTATCCTTCATGTGATGTGGAGATAGGGGAGCACTGTCTAAAGGGTGACTTCGTACCGTTAGCCATGCTTGAGTTTGATGCCATACTTGGCATGGACTGGCTTGAAAAGCACCATGCAAAAGTGGATTGCTACACTAAGGTGTTAGAACTCAAGGATGGTGAGGGAAATACTCTATGTTTCAAGGGAGATAGAGAAAGATTCAATCCTTGCATCATATCGGCCATAAGAGCAAAGCGTATGATGGGGAAGGGATGTCCCGCTTACTTAGCCTATGTCATAGGCAAGGAAGGCAAGGGGAAGAGTCTCACAGAAGTGAGGGTGGTGAGAGAGTATCCGGAGGTGTTTCCTGAAGAGCTACCGGGACTCCCACCCGATCGGGAGATTGAGTTCGAGATCGAGGTTGAACCAGGCACCAAACCCATCTCAATTCCTCCGTACCGAATGGCACCGGCTGAACTTCAAGAGTTGAAAGTTCAATTGGAAGAGCTACTAGATAACGGATTCATTAGACCGAGTCATTCGCCATGGGGAGCACCCGTACTCTTTGTAAAGAAGAAGGATGGTACAATGAGAATGTGTATCGACTACCGTCAATTGAACAAGGTCACGGTAAAGAACAAATACCCTTTGCCAAGGATTGACGACTTGTTTGATCAATTACGAGGGGCAACCGTGTTCTCCAAGATCGACTTGAGGTCGGGCTACCATCAACTGAAGATCAAGGAGAGTGACATACCCAAGAGTGCATTCCGTACAAGGTATGGTCACTACGAGTTCCTAGTGATGTCGTTTGGGCTTACAAATGCCCCCGCGGCGTTCATGGACCTCATGAACCGAGTATTTCATCAATACTTGGACCAATTCGTCATAGTGTTCATTGATGACATTTTGATATACTCCAAGAACGAGGAGGAACACGAGAAACATCTAAGGCTCGTGCTTGAAACACTGCGGGAGAAGCAACTCTTTGCCAAATTCTCTAAATGTGAATTTTGGCTTGGGGAGATCGGATTTCTCGGGCATATGGTATCGGGCTCGGGCATTTCAGTTGATAACTCGAAGATTGAAGCAGTCACTAATTGGGAGAGGCCCAAGAATGTGAAGGAAATAAGGAGTTTCCTCGGTTTAGCGGGGTATTACCGCAAATTCGTGGAGAAGTTTTCAGTAATAGCATCTCCGCTCACGAAGCTCACTAAAAAGGGAGCTAAGTTTGTGTGGGATGACAAGTGTGAGAAGGGGTTTCTTGAGCTAAAGAAACGATTGACTGAAGCACCAGTACTTGCCCTACCCGTGCAAGGGTTGGGGTATGACATCTATAGCGATGCTAGCATCCAGGGGCTTGGGTGCGTACTGATGCAATCGGGGAAGGTAATTGCTTATGCTTCTCGGCAACTGAGGAAGCATGAAGTGAATTATCCCACACATGACCTTGAGCTAGGAGCTGTGGTGTTTGCTTTGAAGATTTGGAGGCATTACCTCTACGGTGAGGAGTGTCACATCTATACTGATCACAAGAGTTTGAAGTATGTGTTCACTCAGAAAGAGTTGAACATGAGGCAAAGAAGGTGGATGGAGTTAATCAAGGATTACAACTTGATTATTGACTATCATCCAGGTAGGGCTAACGTGGTTGCTGATGCTCTCAGTAGGAAAAGTTCATCAGGGGTTTTACTCACATGCTTACAAGCATTGAGGGCACACGTGGAAGTATCCACGAATGGGGCTCTATTGGCCAGATTTGAGGTGAGACCCACCCTATTAGACGAAATCAGAACGCGTCAAGGCAATGACGAGGAAATTCAGAAAATCCGGGAACGGATGCTGGTGGGACCCGTCGAGGGTTTCCGTGAGAGAGAAGATGGACTCCTACTATTCAAGGAGCGAGTGTGTGTGCCGTCAGATGAGGAGCTCCGGAAATCTATTCTTGAGGAGGCTCACTCATCTGCGTATGCCATGCACCCAGGTGGAACAAAGATGTACCGGGACTTGAAAGAAAGTTACTGGTGGTCGGGAATGAAGAGAGAGATTGCTGATTATGTGAGTCGTTGCCTTACCTGTCAGCAGGTTAAGGCAGAGCACCAACACCCGGCAGGGTTATTACAGCCACTTACCATCCCAGAATGGAAGTGGGAGCATGTTACTATGGACTTCGTGGTAGGTCTGCCACGGACGGTTAGGAACTACGACGCAGTATGGGTGGTGGTTGATAGGCTGACAAAAAGTGCTCATTTCCTACCTATCAACACTACATATACGCTTGAGCGACTGGCTAAGTTGTATACAGACGAGATTGTGAGACTGCATGGGGTTCCGGTCACCATAGTGTCGGATAGAGACCCACGGTTCACATCACGGTTTTGGCCTAAGTTCCAGGAATCCATGGGAACAAAGTTGAGGTTTAGCACGGCATTCCATCCTCAAACGGATGGGCAATCTGAACGGGTGATTCAGATTTTGGAGGACATGTTGAGGGCATGTGCCCTAGAGTTCCAAGGGAGTTGGGACAACCAGTTGGCTTTAGTAGAATTCGCCTATAACAACAGTTATCAGGCAAGTATAGGCATGCCTCCATACGAGGCATTGTATGGGAGGAAATGTCGGACACCTTTATGTTGGGATGAGGTTGGCGAGGCCAAGCTCGAGGGTACTGAGCTAGTTGAGATCACTAAGGAGAAGGTGAAAGTTATCCGGGATAGACTAAAGGCTGCCCAAGATCGGCAGAAGAGCTATGCAGATAAACGACGAAGGACATTGGAGTTCGAGGTCGGCGATGAGGTATTTCTGAGGGTGTCGCCTTGGAAAGGGATCATCAGGTTCCTTAGTCGGGGTAAGCTTAACCCACGCTACATAGGCCCATTCAAAATCATCGAAAGAATTGGGGTTGTAGCGTACCGACTTCAGTTAACTCCAGAATTAGAAAAGATTCATAACGTATTTCATGTTTCCATGCTCAAGAAGTATGTACGGGACCCGTCACATATTCTTGAGAAACCACCGGTAGAAATCCGGGAAGACCTTCACTATGCGGTGCAGCCGGTAGAGATCATGGACCGACAGGTAAAGAAGCTAAGGAGTAAAGAGGTACCGATGGTGAAGGTGCTTTGGAAGAGCGATCGTGTCGAGGAGCAAACTTGGGAAGTGGAGACCCTGATGAGGGAACAGTATCCATTTCTGTTTGACTAGAAACGTGGATTTCGGGGACGAAATCCCAAATAAGGGGGGTAGAACTTGTAACACCGCCCCCAAGTATTTGTACTTTACCGAATTATGTATTGAACTCTGGGAAATGAATAAATGCATTTTTCGTAATTG